GGCATAACACATAATACATGTTCCACATGTGTTCACATGAATTGAATTCATTTAAGGATCTACTTTCAGATGTGGTTGCTTAAGATTTGAGTTATGGATGAAAATTTAGGAAGTTGTTCTTTGTGAATCGTAATATAAAGTTCCACATGAGGCATGACACATAATACATGTACCACATATGTTCACATGTGTTGGATTCATTTAAAGACCGACTTTCAAATGTGGTTGCTGAAGACTTTTGAGTTGTGGATGAAAATTTGGGAAATTGTTCTTTGTCCATCGTCATACAAAGTTTCAGATGTATTCACATGAGTTGTATTCATTTAAATTTTTGATATATTGAACCATACCCTCAAAGCAAATTTCGACGATCTTACAACTTGACTCTTTAATTCTAAGTTAATATAACTTGATCTTTTAGTTAACAGTAACTAATGTAAAGTGTACAAGGTCTCGTAGACTCTTCAAGCTGTTCATAGAATCTCCCCATATATTCCCAGATTCTACCCAGATCCATAAACAAAAGGAAACTGTCGACGCAAGTTCAGCTGCCCATGAAAGTTTCCTTTCGTCAAAGGAGTCTCCGAGAGCAAATAACCCTAAACAGCAATTTAAATATAATATACTAAATATAACACCGTTTGTGTCGAATAAAGCTCAGTTAAAATCCACTATACTTCGATTTATCACCATGGTTGAGCAATACATCTTGGACGCAGCCTACAAGATAGCCTAAACCGAAGGCAACGTGGAATTACCGCGTTCGCTAACAAGCGTCTATTACAGCCCCGGGTCCTTAATGGTGCATGCTTAATAAAACATAAATTCTGTTATGGCAACGGAGTATACCTCACGTGGGACGATGCGAGCCGACAAAAGGAAAGTGCTCGTTCTTTCTTCACCTGATAACACTGTTTTCCTCCATTACAAACAGTCGGGCTAACAACGAGGTATGCTCGCTTACGTAATCGAACGCGTATATTTGTGTACGGTGTGTACGTTCGCGTACGTCGATTGTGCAACGAGGTGTACTTAACAAAGCGATGTTTCCCGAAAGGAACACACGCTCGACAGCGTCGTTACGGTTATTGTTTAAAGATCCGAAGACACGGATACGAACCACCGAGAATCGCTCGACAAACGTTGTCAAAGATTCTCGTACACGCAACTCGCACTGCTGATTTTGCAGGAAATTCTCTTTCGGTGCAGTGTCATCATCCTTACGCAACCGATCGGAGGTGTGAATCGGTGCACGGATCGATTACCAAGCGTTTCTTCGTAAACGACCGTGTTGATCTCGTTTTCCGAACAAATGTCGTAATCCACGTTTTTCCTTATTGCGACGAATCTCCTTGGTGAACTCTCGCACCCATTGGGCAATCAAACTCTTAATACAAATCATCCTCCGCTTAAAATTTACTTTCTATTTCTATGATTTTACATAACATACAATTGATGTAGCATTAAACATAAAAATTGAGGTAACATTAAACATAAAAATTGATGTAGCATTAAAAATAAAAATTGAGGTAACATTAAACATAAAAATTGAGGTAACATTAAACATAAAAATTGAGGTAACATTAAAAATAAAAATTAATGTAACATTAAAAATAAAAATTGATGTAACATTCATCATAAAAATTGATGTAACATTAAATATAAAACTTGATGCAACATTAAATTCTCGTTAAAGGAGGTCTACAGGCAGATCGATAAAAGAGGATCCGCGAATGGAGGCATTGTCGTTTGGGGCCGAAACTATCGAAATTACACGGAGCTGGATGCGAGCCCGTAAATCTCGGCCGTTTCACCGCGAGACGCCGGAGAAAGTGAATAATTAGAAGGCGCCTGAAGGCCTTAAAGGCCTTTAAAGACTAAGCGACGGGACGAGCAGAGTGCGTAACAGCCGTCGATGCACGCAGCCGACTCCTTAATTAAGTGGACCTTGTTAATTCATGCGTATCGCGGCGAAGCTACACGATTTTCTCTCCGTTTGCCCTCTTTGGCAACGGGACGCCAGCCCCTCTTCTACGCGTATCCCGATTTATGTAGGTCCTTCGTTATTATGCCGAGACCGTGCACACATCCTAATTTACAACTCCCTCGATCGATTGTTCTACTTATTAGTTTAACCACGTTATCTACTTTACCGTGTATCTTTTCAGTTTTTAATGAAATTATACTTCGGGAAATTTGAAAGTTTCGATGTCTGCATTTTTATGTAGTTCTACAATTTTCTGGTTCAACCAATTATTTGATATAATTGCATTATTCGTCTTGATAACAAATTTCGAGGCTTTTTACTTTTTAATAAAATTCTATTTTATGAAATTTTCGATGACTGCATTTTTATTCGTGTTTTGAAAGTTTCAGGAGTTCCATGGTAAATTAAGTTGTTCTACAATTTTTGCACTTTTGTGCTCGCTCTAATTTATGACTGGTTCAACCAATTATTTGATATAACTGCATTATCGACTTTGCTAACAAATTTCGAGTCTTTATTTTTTAATGAAATTCAATTTTATGAAATTTTCTATGACTGCATTTTTATTCGTGTTTTGAAAGTTTCAAGAGTTCCATGGAAAATGAAGTTTCACAATTTTTGTACTTTTGTGCTCGTTCTAATTTATGACTGGTTCAACCAATTATTTGACATAACTGCATTATTCACTTTGCTAACAAATTTCGAGTCTTTTTATTTTTTAATAAAATTAAATTTTGTGAAATTTTCGATGACTGCATTTTTATTCATGTTTTGAAAGTTTCAGGAGTTCCATGGAAAATTAAGTTGTTCTATAATTTTCATACTTTTGTGCTCATTCTAATTTATGACTGGTTCAACTAATTATGCAGCATAACTGCATTATCCATTTTGCTAACAAAGTTCCAATCTTTTTATTTTTCAATAAAATTCAATTTTGTGAAGCTTGAACTTTATAATGAAATTTAAAAGTTCCTACTTTGCATTTTGATGTGTGCATTTCCATCCACCAATATGTTTTGAAAGTTTCAAGAGAGCCATTGAAAATCAATTTGTTTTACAATTTTCGTTCACCCTTGGCTCCTAATATACAACTCGTTAAACTAATTATATAACATATTGATCGTTCAACTACATTATCAACTTCAATAAAAACTTCAATTTGTTGTTCTGCAATAAAATTCCATTCTTCATATTATTAGTAATAGAAATTGTATTTCCTAGAACAGAAATAACAAATAGTCCATGTACCCACAATCGACTTTGCATGTAGTCACCACTTTCATCCGGCATCGCGTTCTGAAAGTTTCAACAGTTCCAGGGAAACAGTAACGACATCGACTAGCAACCGGAAGCAATGTATGCTCATTCTTCGGGAAACGGAGAAAAACTCGCGGAACACCGGTCGCAGCTGTCATAGAAAATCAAGGGAGAGTCTGTTGATCGAGGCCAAACACGGTCATCCATGAAACCGCTTTCTACTTGCGCGTTTCTCGGCATCGTAGTCGCGCGGGCTCGCGTCTTCGCCGTCAGATTCGATAATCGATCGTTTATGCTCGCGTTTCACGCTCCTCGATATTCTGCACATCGTCCGAATCACGAACTATGCTCTAAATAGGCTAAGATCTTAATCAAAACTTTTGTACTTTGCGGAGACTTGGTGACTTGGTGACGCATCGGGTGCGTCTTTGGTTTCTTTAAGATATTGTCAAGCATTAGTATATTAAATATAATGTAGGTTAAAAGTACTTGTATTACTTGTGTTACTGTATACAGTATTCTTTATAGTATATGTGAAATTATTATGTATATACATCATTGACAATGATGTACACTAACAGATTGGGTTAAAAGATGAAATTGGAAGATGGAGGACTCTTATTCTTAATAATCTGTATGATACTGTCTGACCAAAAATGTCAGCTTTGACTGTGATGGTCAATGTGTTCGAAACATTTTCTTCTCTTGTGAAAAAGGTTGGAGGGTGAAGATGGGAGATGCACTACTACAACTTAGTACGCACCATGTGCGTCATATAACCAACATAACAAAGAAACAAAAATTTTTATATATTCCTATAATGAACTTTCAAATGAAAAATATAGATGAGGTCAATACAGTATTAGACGTAAAATTATGAATTTCGATGACTGATTTTTCTATAAAAATCAGTAGCAAAGTATAAAGTATAAATCAACCGATACCTTACTTTCCAGGAAACTCTCAGCTCTGTAAAGAATCGGAGCGCTAATCGCGCGGAAATTAATACGGGTTGTAAAGGTTCAGACGCATAAATCTTGTTTGCCGACGAAGGATCCGATGCGGGCAGAAATCGGGCGCCGCGAAATCGGCGGCGGTCCGCTTATCGATCCTCGACGGTGAAAAATTCGGTACGAAGCGTTAAGGATCGTGCGTCGTTCGCGGGGAGAAAGTTTAGAAAGGAACTGTGCCGATCGGCCGTAAATATAAAACAACGGGGAACAAAAAGGAAAAAAGCAGGACGATCGACCGAGAACTGTTTACACATCTTAGTCACGTTCCTCGCGTAGTTACCGTAAAACGGGAGAGGAGTCGACACGACGGAAAGGACGACAGTGACGAGGAGAAATACCGTGTCGATGGGAAAGAAAGGAGCACCGAGTGAATCGAACGCGATTCGATGGTAAAGAGGATGGATAGCGGAGAAGAGCGGAAAAAGAGACGCTTCAGCGGCGTTTCAGCGGGTCGAGAGATATAGGATGCACGCGTTTATCCTCGCTTTCTCGATAATGAGAAAATTGTGAGGTTCGATCGATCTTGTAACACGATCTCGCGATCACAGGGTGTCGATAACGCGCCACGTAGCCCGAGGCAACGGAACGGAAGTGATCGATGGGACCAACGCTGCATTTCCGATCTACACCTCCGATCGTTTTACCACGCTTCCGCCAACACTTTCGACCTTTTAACTCTTTATTGAAAATATCTCGTTCCGGTATTATATTTTCCCGATCGTATAATTTATTCTCTCTCTTACCTTCGTCCGGTTCAGAGGATTCGAGAAGTCCCAGCCCGGGGCGACGAACAGGTACCCGCATTTCGAAATCTTTCTTGTTGCCTGCAACACGAGAACATCACTTTTAATCTCATTTTTTCCTACGTGCTATTTCGAAATCTTTATTATTGTCTGATACACATATATATCATTTTTTTATATGTGCAATTTCGAAATCTTTATTATTGTCTGCTACACAAGTATATCATTTTTAATTTCATTTTTTTTATACGTGCATGCTGCACTGTTGCAGTCATATACATTCATATCTGTATTTAATTTTTACATGTATTTGTACAGGCATTTCTACATGTAATTGTGCATGTATTTATACATGCATTTATATATGCATTTATACATGCATTTATATATGCATTTATACATGCATTTATACATGCATTTATACATGCATTTCTACATGCATTTGTACATGTATTTCTACATGCATTTGTACATTTATTTATACATGCATTTATACATGCATTTATATATGCATTTATACATGCATTTATATATGCATTTATACATGCATTTATACATGCATTTATATATGCATTTGTACATGTATTTCTACATGCATTTGTACATGTATTTGTGCATGTATTTATATATGCATTTATACATGCAGTTATGCATGCATTTAGACATGCAGTTATGCATGCATTTATACATACATTTAATTTATACATGTATGTGTAAATATATTTAATGTGCATGTATTTAAATTCATTGCTAAGTATGTACACATGTCACATTCATATATTTCAGTCCACCGTAACATGAGTTATATTTACACTTTGATTATGGCGTAAGATATATTTACGTTCAGATAAATTATAAGACAAACATTTTTATTTCGATGCGCTGATTGCATATTGTGTGGCGATTATATTGATAAATTACCTCTACAGTATAATACACTGCAGCATAAATAATTTATATTTAAATAAATTGTAATATAAGCTACATTTACACACAGTAAGGTAAGTTACAATGCATCGTAACACGAGACCGAAGTACATAAAATGAAAGGTGATAAATTTTTTGATCCATTTTCGAACCTTGATTTCGTGTAATTTCGTGTTCCACGCTATTTGCTCCGTGTCCGCCTACAACTTTGAAACCGTGTACGATGTGAAACTACACGTAGAAAGTCCTTGTACTCGATGGAAATAATAACGACGTCGGAAGTTCAATGTAACGTGACGAAACGCATAATATACACACCGAAACAAGTACTTCGAAATCATTCTGGTTTCTCCGAACGAAACGAAGCACGACATAACGAGACAGGATCGTTTCTATCATCGAACGATCCCCATCACAGGTTGTCTATTAAGGAATGCTTATTGTTGCTACTTCGTATATAATTTAATACTGCGACATGCTATACGATACATTCGCGTGCTTACAGACAAAAATACATATTTTGTAATTCACGAGCCGGAAGTTTATAACGAGAAGAATCGTGAAAGTCTTTAATGGGATGGAAAATTCTTTTCCTTCAACCGGTGCACAGTACATATTTCGAATAGCGGATAGAAATGATAAGTACGCAAATATATAAATATATTGTAATATCTAAGACCTGATGATATATCATCAAAGGGTTTTAATACACATCAAACGTATTGCTTATCGTTCTCGTTCGTTTCTACGCTTCGATCTCCGAAGAGTAAAAAAAAGAAGCGTAATTATTAAAAAAGTTCGGACGATGCATCGACTCGGCATTCCAGCGAGAACATCGTCGGAATATCAACCACGAAAAGCAATCTCCCGCCGCGTCCACGGAACGAGGCTCTCCATCGCGTCGACCGGCAGCTAATCAAACTTTCCAACAACGCCGCTGCACGCCGGATCCTCTTCAAACTCTATTATTATGTTTAGAAGAAGATTTAGGGGCTACCGGCGGAGGAAGCCCCGGAGAAAGAGTCGGTCGAAATAAAGAAGCATCGTGGCCGCGAGAAACAGACGGAGAAAGGGCGAAAGAGTAGTGGCAGCCATTCAGGTGAAAAGGAAAGGCACGTGAACAGGTACAATATATCCGAAGAATCTTAAATCGGTCATTCATCAAGAGCATCGTGTTTCCTTTGCTACTGTCTGTCCAGTGTATAGATCATTACCTTTTTAACCCCTCCAATCTGTTATTGGCGAGTGTAAGTAACTGTTCCGAGTATTACGCAATCGCGAGAGTTACAAATCGATATCGTAATTATTCTGGAAGTTACCGCAACTGTGGATACTCTTTAATAATCGAAGATTGGGTATTAATGGCAGAACCAGTTTTACGAGAAACCTTTCGATCCTCTGTTTCCCTATTCGACGTTCGGCTCATTGTAATAGCTCTCGCATAATTACACGATACGTTACAAATTACGTTACACGTGTCTGCGTGTGTGCCGCAACGTAACGCGTTACCGGGATCAGGAGATTATACGAGTTCCTCGAGGAGTTCGAAGAGCTGCTACTATCCCCAGATGGAATAACCACAGGAAACGTTCAGCCCGTACGGTTAATGAAAGGGTGTCCCACAATAACCCCCATGTAATTTGAAAACCCCCAATTTGAATAGAACGCGTTCGGATCGTGCTGCGGTACAGGTTTTAAAAACTGCACCGCCGCCCAGAGACGGAAACGAACAAAGAATTGAAAAGACTTTCGTTCTGTTAACGTGCTCTTGTACGAACTCCGACTTGAAACTCGCAAAATCTTGCTATTCAAACGGGAATATGGAAAAATTCTTTGCTAGCATATCTTATGTTTTCTGACCTTACTCGTAGTGCCATTAAACTCGACGCTTTGCGATTCGGTATATCGCAATTGCACGCATGGCGTTTGTAGACGTTGCAGTTGCATGCATTACAGATTCGCGCATTGAAATTTCATATGATTTAATTTGTTGGATTGTAAGTGGACGCGTTGCACTTCCACATGGTGGAAATTTATGTATTACAACTCCACATGATATAATTCGATCCACCACAATTCTACGCGATTTAATTCGACGCGCCGCAATTCCCCGCGATTTAATTCGACGCGTTGCAATTCCACGCGATCAAAATTGGCGAAACGCAATTCCACGCGATTAAAATGGGCGAAATGCAATTCCACGCTATCTAATTCGGGGCATTGCAACTCCACGCTATATAATTCGGGGCACTGCAATTCCACGAGATCCAATTTGGCGCGTAGCAATTCCACGCTTTGCAATTCCACGCGATCAAAATTGGCGAAATGCAATTCCATGCGATCAAAATTGACAAAATGCAATTCCACGCTATCTAATTCGAAGCATTGCAACTCTACGCTATCTAATGGGGGGCATTGCAATTCCACGCTATCTAATTTGGGGCACGGCAATTCCACGAGATCCAATTTGACGCGTAGCAATTCCACGCTTTGAAATTTCGCGCGATCAAAATTGGCGAATTGCAATTCCACACTTTCCAACTCGGGGTATGGCAATTCCACGCTACCCAATTCGGGACATTGCAATTCCACGCGATCCAATTCGGTGCATTGCAATTCCACGTTTTCAAAATCGGTGGGCTGCAATTGCGTTACAACTTCTGCACGAGGCAAGTTAATAAGTTTTCAATTCCATGCGTTACAACGTGCGCACGATGTAAGTCAATATGTTTGCAATTCCATGCAGGTGTAAGTCAATAAGTTTGCAATCCCATGCGTTACAACGTCCGCACGATGTAAGGCAATAAATTTGCAATTCCATGCAGATGTAAGTCAATAAGTTTGCAATTTCTGCGCGATCCATTTTGCTAGTTTACAATTTGACCCACGGCAATTCTACGCGATCCAATTCGGTGCAGCCATGTATCCAAATGCAGCCGTAATTAAAGAAAGGCGAAACCATCCCCAGTAAAGAATTCCTCAACCATCCCCAAAAGACAAAATCAAGTGTATTCGAAGCGCGACGTTTACCGCGTCTAACGAACCCATCAAAGCAAAAGATTTACTAGGAGATAAATACTTCAGCGAGGTTTCACACTGACGGCAATAATTTGATCGGTGGCAGGAAATTGTTCGGGAAACGACGATCTTTTACCGTATGCCCAACACCGAGCACATTTTTACGCCGTTTCCCCGAACGAACGCCTTCGACAGATCGTTTTCCTTGGAAATATGTTAATGAACTTCTCGCCGACAGTTTCATGGCGCATTAATCCGACGGAACGGAAACAGCTTCCGTCGAGGGAAGTCGAGAGCTGCAGCGGATTCCGAGGCACCGGGAGAGCACTCTCCAAATATTTGAAAAGAAACTCGAGTTCGATATCCCGTGAAACAAAACGATCGAAACGGAGATATACGCGCGTCACTTTCGCTCGTTACGAAAGCTGCATCCGTGGCTTAAGGGAACGAGCGGCGCAGTTTTTCCCTCGTTCGAGACACGAACTTAAACGGGCCTGAAATTACGCTTCATGATCGTCCGATCGTTTCGCGAACGAAAAAGTTTCACCTGCTTTAATGCTCGATGGTCCGAATGGACGTTGATTAACGCGTTGGGTATCGGGGATCGATCGGAAACAGCGTAATTTCATTACGATGCGATCTAATCGGGTTATAATCGAACGACGTACGAGATCGTTTCTGCCGTACGAATTTTCCACTTCATCTAATTTTCCAAACGAGCCAGAAGTCGCGACGAAAAATCGCCTAGACACGGCGGTTGAACGTTGACTAAATTTACGAGGGGTATTTCACGGTCGAGGAGCAACAACCACGGAACGGGATAAATGAAATACTTTCCGTGGCAAAGTTTCACCCGGCAAGAAAACGAGGAGAAGGTCCGGCAAGAAAAGTAATACGTCTTCGTTCAGCTGGCTGACGATCATTTTCCAGTGCGTGGCAATCACGAAACGAGGCGATCATCTGGCCGACCGGGGCAAGAACGAGAATTTACTCTGCTTTATGGAGAAATAAAGTCGGTCTACTGCTCGAACAGGCCCGAGAGCGTCTCTTTCTTTACAGAAAATTATGCTGTTCTCCCTTGTACGGGGCTAAACAAAAGATCACGGACACCGGTAAAAAGCCCAGCTGCCTAAACG